TTTTTTTTTTTTTTTTTTACTTTTGATTAACATCAATGAAATGTTACTCGATTTAATTCCGGGGAGTCATTTTTCATGAAAAATTACGAATTCACAAACATTTTACATGATCTAACCATTTAAAAAAAAAATAAAGAACATTTATTGTTATATATTTAAAAAAAAGCTTTGTTCCAACACCTTCAAACTATCGTTCCAATGACACGTAGCATGAATATACGTGAGTAATCAAGTAATTTGATCGAAAAAACCATAAAAAAGCGCGTTTTGCTCCGGAAAACAACTAAAACGATTGTACATTCGTTATATAATTGAAAAAACGAATGTACAATCGTTATAGTTGTTTTTCGACCAAAATTGTAATATCCCGATATTTTATTAGTATAAATTATGTTTTAGTTCCGATATAATAATGTTATCGATTATTATTTTCGGAATTAATTATTTTCAGTCGAGATTACCGAAAATTATTTTCGACGTACCGTTTACGTTCGGAATAATTTTGGTAATTAAGTATTATGTTTAAATGTTAATTAGCCTAATTAAGTGATTAATTAAGCATTAATCACACAATTAGGGCTAAAAGGCCGTACCATATAGCTCTTTTACTCTTAAGATGCCATACACTTTTGTGGGGAAGTTTAGTGGATTTTGTCCAAATCCTTTCTTCATTTGGAGGTAAGCTAACGTGGCATTAAGAGGTGTGATGGTAGATGACTAATCCATCTTAGTCATTAGTTAAGAAGCAAGTGTCCAAAGCCTAAGAAGGCCACGCCTTCACTCCGTCACTTCCCTCTCATTTCGGCCCTCTCTATATATAGCATAAGAATTTGGAAAATTCTCCCACCTTTGAGCTTATATTATTCCTCCAAGTCTTTAGTAGAGTTCAGCAGCAAATTTCCTTAAATTCCCATACCAACGCACGGCAATTGACGAAGCATCGCACGACAAGGTAAGGCATACACATGGGCGCACGCGAGGATCAACGGAGGTCGCGATTAGCTTGTAGTTTCCATCGAGCACTTGAAGAGGTAGAGTTATCTTGAATCCCTTTTCATGTTAATAAGTCCATTTAAGGCTGAATTGTTCGGTCCATATGTAAGAAATTCCTAGTTATGTCGCATTAAGTTCGGTTTAGGCCATTTTGGGCCAAGACCGAGTTATGTTCATTTTTCTCCAGCAAGTCCCGAGTGTTTCATGTTTCTTTAGTCCATATTTAATGAATAATGTTCAGTTTAGGAAGATAGGTCGGGATAAATTAACGTTTTGTTCATGAATTGGCTCAGGCAAGGGGGCTGCGCATATAGCGCACACCCGCGGGCCATCACGTGCCTAGTAATGTTATCTTTCATTATTGACAAGTTGGTTCGAACAATTGATGTTTAAATGGTCAAGTTAGGTCATTTTATGTTCAGTTGGCTCATGTTGTTCGAGAAGTTTTCATGTTTAACCGAGGAACTGGCCATAAGCCGTAAGCCTCGCACATAGCGAGCGCACCATGGCCATGTACTTGGTCCATTGAGCAAAGTTCAGTATTTTCATGGGAGTTCAGTACAATAAAACATATTAAGTCATGTTACGTGGTTTGATGTCATGGTTGCTGAAGGTATTCACCGGATGGCTGGTGAAGGCCGGTTATGGACACGTTGCCCGCACATAGCGGCAGCAGCGTGTTGGCAGACAGGCAGCGCCGACTGCCAGTGCATGCGCCTGCCCGCGAGC